GTTTAGGGCTGTTGTACATAGGGTCGCTATGAGTCGCAGGCGACTCGACGGCACATAACAACAACAATAACAACATCCTTGGCTAAATAGACTACAAAATAAAAACTATTTCCAAAATAAAAGAAACATTATTATCTAGGGAATTTCTGGAACTCCAATTAATCACTAGAAAAATCTCTTAAAGGTCTGGGAAATTGAGAAAGAAACTATCATTATAACAGCAGCATTGTATCCACTCATCTACTTTTGTGCCATGTATTTTGTTATGTACCAGTGAGTCAACTAATAGTGATTCCTGTGAACAGAACAAAACCTTGCCCTATCCTGTACTAGCCTCACAATTTTCCATCTTTGTTGAGGGTTTTCTTATCTTTATTCACGCCCTCCCTTTCTTTCCCAGCATGATGTCTTTTTTCCAAAGACAGTCCATCCTGATAACATACCCAAAATACATGTGATAAAGCTCTCCTGTCCTTGCCTCCAAAGAGCACTCTGGTTACACTTCCTTCAAGGCAGATGTGTTTGATATTTAGGCGGCCCAGGTGATGTTCAGTCCCCACCAACACCACAATTCAAAGACATGAGTTCACCTTCAGTCATTTATCTCAGAGGGTGTTTACCCAAACTATAGACAATTGAAATGCTTAAAATTATCTAGTAAGTGATTCATCCTGCTTGTTTCTATGATCATTTGAAAACTTGATGACCTAGATTCTGACTTACATATATGATACTGACCAAGAGTGTCAGTTGCCACTTTTTCCTTCTAAGAAATCTGTTTTAGTGGGCTGGAGTGCTTTCTGACAGCTGGCTTCTTTAATTTTGGGATACAAGAAATATCACTTTTATCCAGAGAGTTTTTGAAGCTTGAAACACTCTTCAAGCTTTGTGGTTTAGACTTCAAGTCAGAAATTACAGCCTTGTCTGAATGTCTTTTTAAGTTTGTTATCATTCTCTGAATATGGTTGCTGGGATCCTGTATCAATTCCGCCCAGGATTTTTTTTTCAAAGGACTTTTTAGACTTTTAAACTCAAAGTTATTGCTCTCTGCACTTTTATGATGAAGTTGAATATTTATGCTATTTAGCTTAGGGATTCTTGATGTTTCAGCCAGCCTGGAAGAACTGCCTGTCTTCTTAAGTTGTAGAGGGTATTGAGGTAGTTTAGCTGACTTTTGAATTGAAGAATTTCCATCCACGTATGGTCCTTCTGTAACTGTTAATGAAGAGAAATAAATTCTTTCACTTGTGCAAAGTTTATTACATTTCAAAAAAGATATTCTTATGAGGGTTTCCTCATAAAAGCTATCCAATAAATTACTGGTTGCTTAAACATGTAAAGCAAAGTTAATAAATTAAAAAATCCAACAGAGCTGAGACTACAAAATTTACTTTTAACTAAGTTGAATATAGTCTGTGAAGCTAAGCTGCAATCCCAAAGGAATGCAGTTCAAATCCATCAGCTGTTCTGTGGAAGAAGAATGCACAATCTCCTCCCAGGCGATTCACTGACTCTGAAAACTCACTGGAGGGCCAGCTATGGATTGGTTCTGATTCAAAGACACACAACAACGACTTCTACTGTAAATATTTTAGACAAAGATATAGCAGTAGGATTTAGGCCAAAATACAGTAAAAGGAATCAGAGTAACAAAAGGTCTCAGACTCTGGGCAATAGACACTACAGGACAACAAATCATCTAAAGAAGGAAATATCAGGGTGTCTCAACTTCAGCACTATTGACATTAAAGACCAGGTAATTATTTGTCTAAAGTGACAGTCCTGTTTTATTAGCATGTCTGGCGTACCTGAAGTTCGATCATACCACTGCCTAGATTGTAACAACAAAACCTGTGTCCATAAAAAAAAAACCAACCAAAAAACAAAATCTCCTGACATTACCAAATGTCCCTGAAGGGATGAAAGGACAGACTGAACAACTTTTTAGTTCAATATTCTCAAAAAAGAACAGACAACTAAAGATCACAAGACTTGCTGAGAAATACTCCAAAAAAAAAGAGAGAGAAAAAGTAAACTGGAAGAAACAAAGTAAAACCAAAAATGATGACTATAAAAGCATAATCAATATCCTCAGTGTTTTAGAAGATATAAATTACATACAAGAGAGATAAAAAGTAACGCTCAAGAAAAAAGAAAGGCATCTTAAAATATTGGAGAATATTGGTTTGGCAAACCCGAACATTCAGAGAGGATATGTAGACAGTTTGTGCTTGGCAGTTCTTGGATCTGGACTACTAATGAAAGTTCTTCGGAAAGATAAACTAATAAATAAGACAATAATTAACTCTAAGTCATGGGGAGATACACAGAAAAAGAAAGCAGCCATAGTTATATGGGGCAACTGTAAATAGGCTTCAAACAGACGTCCTAATAAAAGTGCTGAACGAAAATTCACCCAATGATCATATAATCCTATTGAGAGTACGACGAGGTATATGAAAAGTAGGTATAGTGAGGAAGAGAGAGAGTTAAATCCTTGTTTCTCATAGTTGTAAACTGACGGTATTTACCCAAAATTTAAAAACCAAGAATAATGTAAATGGAAAGAATTTCAAACTATCACGGAATCCATATTTTCTAGAGTTATGAGGCTAGATGAACCCCTGAAACTACTATCCTGAGACAATTTTCTAAATTATAACCAAAAAGATCCCCTAGTCTTCTTAAAATGAAACCATAGTTAAGCTTAACTTAAAAAAGAATGCCTGGAGCTTGTTACCACTGGGCCACCGGGGCAGCTTTGTTTCTGCCTCAGGAGGAAGGAGCGGAGCAATGCAAAGCTCCAGGCACCGGATATGACGTTACCACTGCACCCTGCTCTGGTGTCAGTAGCTGGCGCTGTACGGCCGCGGTGAGGTTCATTATAGCGTCTTGTTCTCGTTTGGCTTTTGCTAACCATGGAGAGCGACTTTTACCTGCGTTACTACGTCGGTCACAAGGGCAAGTTCGGCCACGAGTTCTTGGAGTTCGAGTTCCGACCCGACGGGAAATTCAGATATGCCAACAACAGCAATTACAAAAATGATGTCATGATCAGAAAAGAGGCTTATGTACATACAAGTGTGATGGAAGAACTGAAGAGGATAATTGATGACAGTGACATTATCAAAGAGGATGATACCTTGTGGCCTCCTCCTGACCGAGTAGGCCGGCAGGAGGTTGAAATTGTCTTTGGAGATCAACACATTTGTTTCACAACAAGAAAACTTGGTGCCCTTAGTGATGTTAATCAGTCCAAGGATCCAGACGGCTTACGAGCATTTTACTACCTTGTCCAGGACCTGAAGTGTTTGGTATTCAGTCTTATTGGATTACATTTCAAGATCAAGCCAATCTAGGTTGAATGCTGGTTTGGACTTGAGGGTAGTGTTTTAATTCAAATTATCAAATATTTGTGTATATCAGGGCAATCTTTTTTACAAACCATAAATGATGTCTTTAATAAATATGTGATAAACCAAAAAAAAAAAAAAAGGTCTGCTTTGAGTATTATTCTCCTAAGATCTATTTATATGAGACGAAATTCACAATATTAACCAGAAATTCAGGTAATTTAAAGGACAGGAAGCATCTCAATGGGGGTGACAACTCAGAAAATGAGGTCTAGCATTCACTATTGCTGAACTGTAGATGTAAAAATTGTTAAATTGGCTTATGTTCTGCTGTTTTTATTATAAAAATATTAGGGGAAAAATAGTGATATGTATTTAGAGTGATGAAGATAAATATCAGAGAATCAGCTAAAACATTTTAAATATTGGCTTACAGAGAAGTTAGGAAGAAGGTCAGGAAAGAAGATGATTTGAAGGAAGGGAAGTGTATGTACCAATCTTCATAAAGCCAAATAATTCTTAAAATTATGACAGAAGTACATTTAGCCAAAAATGAGAAACAGCAAAGAATCACATTATAGGCAAGAAAGGGTAAAAGAACCAATAAAGGAAAATTAAATAAATAATAGCTAAAATATATCAGGAATTTTTGAAGCATCGTGTCAGAATGACTCATAAATTGAAAATTCAATTTTTTATATATTCTAGCTCTGGGGGCCTCGGGGCAAAAATCTGTGCTGCAAGCCCAGAGGCCACCAGCTGCTCTGCAGGAGAAGGTTGGGCAATCTCCTCCCTTGCGATTAAGTTCCTCTAAAAACCTGCCAGAGGATCAGCTATGGGTCATTTCCCACTTGACAGTACATAACAACAACATCTATTCTAGTGTTACTATTTTATTTTCAATTTTACTTTATGCTGTAATGTATTTTTGGAAAGATAAAATTAATAATGTGATAGTATATGCCCATACAATGATGTCAAGTTGATTCTGACTCACAAGCAGCCCTATGGGATGGAGGTAGAACTAGAACTACCGCACAGGCTTCTAAGCCTGTAAGGTGTATAGGAGTAGATTGCATCATTTGTCTTGAGCACAGCACCTGATGGATTCAACCTGCAGACTTTTTGGTTAGCAGTTGAGTATTTAACCATTGCTCCACCAGGGTTCCTTTCCTAGAGATAATATTAATTAGGAATATTGCATTAAACTGTCATTATATTAGCTAGTTCTAGATATTATAATCAAAAACTATTTGAATATCTCTGATTTAAGAGTTTAAAAGTGCAGAGAAAGCTTCTAAAACTCAAAAGAAAAGGCCTATAAATTTGAACTTAATTTATAAACTATTTATTTATAAATAAAATTTGTTGTAATCAAGATTACTTACCAACATTTTTACGTTGTTGTTTCAGTTCATTTAAAAGAAATACAATATTCCCCATATCCACCATGCTGTTACCTATAACATAACAAAAAAGTTCAAACACTGTATTCATAATTGAAAATATATAAAATCGCCACCCTATGCTAATGTGAAGATGACACACAAATGTGTGGAAGTCAGAACAGAGGGCCAACTTTTATAAGTTTCAGTTACTATCTAGAACTGAGAATTAATAACTTGGAACACATTGGCACATAAGACTAGCCCATATTTCCCCCCATCAAAAGAAATTAGTCTTGTTCTAAACTCTCAAGGTAGAGAGTCAGAATAATGTTTTATTCCATTTACAAATATTCATTGAGAGTGTAAAGTAAGGTACTTCTTATATGTTTAAGGTAATTTTTCAATTTCTTACAAAATTGTGAGCTCCTCAAGAAACAAACAAAAGTATCTTTCTTTTCTGTTTCCTCAATGTTTAGACAATATAAACTTCTTACCAAGTGAAAAACTGAGTGAACAAAACAAACTATCAAAGGCCATAAATAATAGCCTAATGTCTGCATTAGGAATAACAGATAACTATTTACTAAGCACTTCTGTGCTTAGACCACTACTTGTAGGTTGTGGTATTTTGGTGACTTGTAATGTTGCTATGAAGCTGAAAGCTATGCCATCTGTATTTCAAATACCATCAGTGTCATCCATAATGAAATGTGCAAAAACCTAGAGTGAGAAAACAAAAAAGGAAGAACATAACTCAGCATTTTTCAAGCTGGAATAACTAAAGACAAATTCAAACCTTGAGTTGAAATACTGAAGAATGGACAAACATTGAAGGATATAGGAGGCATCAAAAGATAGAATGAATACATGTAGTCACTTAACCAAAATTAATCAGTCGACATTGAGCCATTTCAGGAAGCAGTATATGATCAAGAACCAATGGTACTGAAGGAAGAAGTTCAAGCTGCACTAAAAGTATTGGCAAAAAATAAGGCTCCTGGAACTGATAGTATATCAGTGGAGATGTTTCAGCAAATAGATTCATCCCTGGATGTACTTACTTGTCAATGGCAAGAAATTTGGAAGACAGCTACTTGGCCAACTGATTGGAAGAAATCCATATTAAGTCCCATTCAAACCAAAGGAGACTAATAGAATATGTGCATTACCTAATAATATCATAAATACCACTTGCAAGTAAAATCTTGCCAAAAAAAAATCTTTTTAAAGGCTGCAACAATAAGTTGACAGGAAACTATCAGAAATTCAAGCTGGATTCAGAAGAGGCTGGGAAACAAAGGATATCATTGCTGAGATCTGATGGATCTTGACTCAATGAAACCAATTCTAAAAGGATATTTACTTGTGTTTTATTGACTGTGTAACAGCAATCGATGATGTGGCTCTCAATAAATTATGGACAACACTGAGAAGCATGAGAATTCCAGAACACTTACTTGTGCTCATTTGGAAACCGTGTAGGGACCAAGAAGTAATTTGAATACAAAAAGGAAATACTGCCACCATGGAGTGCAGTCAGGAAATTAAAAGACAAGTTGCATCTGGAAATTCTGTTGTCAAGGACCTCTCCAAAGTGCTGAAGAACAAGGATGTCAGCTCAGAGACTAAGGCTAAGGTGTGCCTGACCCAAGCCAGGGTGTTTTCAATTGCTTCCTATGGACATGAAAGTTGTATAATGAATAACAAAGATGAAAGGATTACTGATGCCTTTGAATTGTGTTGTTGGTAAAAGAGTACTATCAAAAGTCCAGTGTGAAAAACAATGTATATGAATTTTATGAACTTTGTATGTAAACCAATATAAAATAAAAATTAAAAAGATAAAAAAGAACAAACAAATTTGTCTTGGAGGAAATACAGCCAGGATGCTTCTTAGAGGAAAGGAGGGCAAAACTTTGTCTCACATACTTTGGGCATGTTATTATGGTAATAATAGTTTGAAAGACATAATGCTGGGTAGAGCAGAAGGTCAACAAAAGAGAGGGAAAACCTCAACAATACAGACCAACCCAGTGGCTTGACCACAGCGATGACAGAGGTTGTGAGGATGGCATGGGAAAAGGCAGGGTGTTGAGAACATTCTTACCATGGATGTTGGTCCACTTAACAGAACCTAACAGCTGAAAGACAGTTTCCCTAGTCAAAAAACAAGGACCTTCCTTATAAAAACTTGTGCCTCAAATTGCAGCCAGCTTAATTTGATAAAATGAAAATCCCTCTATGTTTTCTCCATAAGGAGAAGTAACTAGGGAAAAGGATGAGAATTAATTAAACAAATATTTATAGAGCAGTTAATACATTCCACAAACACTGCACTAGGCACTAAGGACAAAATACTGGCTAAAATCATGCAAAATATCTATTTTCTTACTGCTTACTCTTATTTGGTATACAGATTTTAATCAAGAATAAAAGTACAAATGTGATTAATACAATGAGAATATAAAACAAGGAAATTTAACCTAGTGAGAGGTCAGGGAAAGCATCCCTGAAGAATAGACAGCTAACTTCAAATCTAAGTATAAATAGGAGTCAACTAGAAGAAACGAAACATTCCAGAAAGAGACAAGAAAGAATATATGCAAGACCATGTGGTAAGATTAAGCACAGCGAGAGCTGAAACTCTTAAAAAAAGCAAAGAAAACATGGTCTAAGATGAAGATGTGATTTAGCCACATAAAGTAGTGCACAAGGAAGGTAAGAAAATCAGGCGTGTGCTTTGTAAAGATCATTTTAACCACAGGGTAAAGAGGGATAAGAGTGAGTATGCATGTGTTAGTTGGGATGAACTGTAGTGGTCCTAAAGAAATAATTCTAAATTAAAGCCATTTGAGAAACAGTAGTCAGGATAGCTATAGAGAAAAACGGATTTTTAAAAACCTCTATATTTCTTCTTAGCTTTCTTTAAAAAGCAAAGAATTTTTTTTTTTTAAATTTAGGTTGTTTATTTTTCATTTCAATGAACATCTACAGAGATTTTGGGATTCCATTCATTCATTGTTGCACCCTTCTCCCCGCACA